CGCCCGCCCCACACCCGGGACCCCGGCAGCTCAGGCAGGGAGTGCGGAGGGAAAGCCCCGCGCCCTGCAGCGGGGAACTCAGCAGCTCAGGATGGGACCCCGAGACTCTGGAGGGAAAGCCAGGCATCCTCCACACCGGGACCCCAGCAGCTCAGGACGGGAGTGCGGAGGGAAAGCCGCGCGCCCCGCACCCCAGTCCCTGGGCAGCTCAGACCAGGAGTCCAGAGAGCAAGTCTGTGGGAGTCCAGAGGGCAAGCCGCTCGCCCTGCACCGGGGACCCCAGCAGCTCAGGACAGGACTCCGGGCCTCTGAAGGGAAAGCCACGCGCCCTGTACCCCAGGCCCGGGGCAGCTCAGGCCAGGAGTCCAGAGAGCAAGTCTGGGTTTGGGAGTCCAAAGGGCAAGCCGCGCGCCCCGCACCCCAGGATATTTTTTTCAGATTTTCAATTTTTTTAAATTTTTTTTAGAGACAGTGGGAGAGGGGGAGAGGAGAGGCCGGGGGAGAGTGAGGGAGAGAGAAACCTCTATATGAGACACGCACACGCCCCCACCTGGCTGGGATGGGACCTGCAACCCAGGTGCGTGCCCTTGACTGAGGATTGAACCCATGCCCCTTGGGTGTGCGGCCGACACTGACCACTGAGCCCACCGGCCAGGACCAGCAGGCTAGTTTCTCAGTGGATCATTGTGTGTGGCCCGAGGAGGGCTCCCACCCCTGCCTCTCAGGCATGCTGACTGACAGCAGTTCAGGGGTGGTGCCCGCATCGCGTGCTCACCTGAGAGCTCCCATGTCCCCCGGTGACGCCCAGGGGCCTGTGGGGCGTTGCTTTGAAACGATGGGAATAGCCTTCCTTGTCCTCACACCCGGGAACCGGGCCTCCTGTGCTGTTTGCAAACTGAGTTTCCTTCTATTTAAAATATATATTTACGAGTATCGCCCTGGCTGGTTTGGCTCAGTGGGTAGAGCGTCAGCCTGCAGACTGAAGGATCCTGGGTTCGATTCCAGTCAAGGGCACATGCCCAGGTTGTGGGCTCCATCCCCACTGTGGGCCGTGCAGGAGGCAGCCGATCC